GTCAAAGACCGTCAAGGACATACAAAGTTAACTGAGATGCTGACGGCTCTCAACCGATTTATCTCCAAGTCCTTGAACAGGTGTAAGTCGTTCTTTACCATGCTTAAGGGGGTAGCGAAGGGATCATGGGGTGAAGAATGTGATCGGGCGCCGGAGGGAATCAAGGAATCAAGAATGCGATTAGATTATTTTTGAATTTTTTTTGGGTGCAATTGGTAATACTTGTTATTTTTTATTGGTCACTTATTTTTTTTATTAGTGATTAGATTGGACTTTGATTTTTTTTTTTAAAACTATATGTTTCATACAGTAATGATTTATTTTCATATCAATAATAACTTGATGATTTTATATATGGATTGTATATTTATACTTTTTATTTGTGTGAAAGTGTTGATGGCGATTAGATTAGTTTTGAATATTTTTTTTAAAGAAATTTGTTTCACTTATTTTTTTTATTGTCACTTGTTTTTTTATTGGTAATTAACTTAACTATGAATTTTTTTTATTTTTTTGGTGCAATTATTTTTTTTTTATTGGTGATTAGTTTGAGGTTTTGTTTTTTTTTTTTTGGGGAAGGGGGGGGGAAGGAGGAGATAAATTAGTGCATTCATTTATTGGTGATTAGTTTAGACTTTGAATTTTTTTTTTTAATTCTGAGAACTATATGCTTGCACGTACTAGTACTTTTTGTGTGCATGGAAATGGTGATGGCGATTAGAATGGTTTCGAATATTATTCTTTTGGTAGAATTGGTGGAATTTTTTTTTATTGGTAATTATAACTTGGGCTTTGTTTTTTTTTGGAAGGGGGGGGGAGTGGGATGGGGACATACATTAGTTTATTTATTAATGATTGTGGTTATTAAATTGTCAATGAATCCCAATGTTAAAGTATCACTCGGTTCTAACACTATCCATCCAATGATCATAATGCATTAAGTTCCTAAATTATGTCTCTAAATGAAGTCTCAATAACATTTGTGATACTTCACTACTTGAGAGTAAGAGAGAGAGAGAGAGATTAACCGAAAGAGGATGCGTGTGTGTGTGTAAGAGAGAGAGAGAGAGAGAGAGAGAGAGAGAGAGAGAAATAAGGAAAGGGTCTGTCAAATTCAAAAACCAGCATCCAACATTCTCTATTTGGTTAGGAGAGTCCATCATAGGAGATTCCTACCGGTGGGGGATGAGAGATTTGGTTAGGATAGTCCTATTGAATTTTGAAAAATTGATGGGCGGAAAATAAATTTAGGTGAATCAACAATTTTAAAATGATTTAAACCGCAAAAAATGCGAGACGAATTAATTTAAGTCTCTTATTATTCAACTCCGATTAAACCCAAATTCACTCATTCTATTTGAGTCTAGAAAACTCGAGTATTATCCACATTAAATCAATTGCAACCTGAGTATTAAAAAATTTCAATTTACATACAAAATATTTTTAGATTTAATTTAAGTTAAATTGGGATTAAGTCGCTCAAATTACATCTCAGCCTCCCTCTTTTGGCATCTATTGGGACTAGAGTTCTCACACAAATACTCTAATTTCGACATGGATGACCAATTTTTTATCGGATCGAAAAGAGAATTAATCAATGTGCACATTAATTAATTTAAACACTCTTAATCATTGAAAAAAATAAACAAAGATATGTGATGTAGTCCATATATACCTAGGATTGATTCAAGTCACGTATAAAGAAAGATAAATGTGACAACACTCCCATGCCCAATTGATTTTCCAAATATGGCAAAATGAAAATGATATGGTCCCACACGGACAAATGACCCTTTCTTAGCCTAAGTGGGTTAGCCAGTCGAGCACAAAAATTTTTTGGGCTATTTAACGCTGATAACCGACCAAAGCTTTCAACGTAGTCTATCAACCTACCCTGGTCTATTCTGACGCGTGCACGCAAAACTTTTGCAATGCGTTGCATCTATTGAGTAGCTAGCTAGCAATGCATTCAACGTGTTGTGTTGTGTTGTGTTGTGTTGTGTTGCATTACTAGTATTTTTTTCTCTCCCAATTAAATCTATTGAAAATAGGTTTTTCATAATTAAAATTTTTATTTATCTAAATCCTAACAAACTCAAATCAAGAATTATTTTATTTTCAGAAAAAATGCATATAATATTAGATTAAAAAAATCAGATTTTTTCAATACTAGTTAAATGTGTTTTTAATGTCCAACACTAATCTAATATATTGAAGCCATCCTTTTAGGTCCCAAAATTTTAGAGCCCCATTTTAAGGAGGATTAAAAAAGTTTAATGTTATTTTTAGAATTTTAAATAACTTTTTTAGATTAATATTTAATTAATTATAATTTTGTATTTAGTACCCCAAATAAAGTTTTTAGACACGGGTTCCATTACGACTAATTTTATTTTTATGCCCCGAATAAAATTTTTAAAGCTCATGTTCAAATAAATTTACTTTTATTTTTGGGGCCCCCAAAAATAATTTGAGAATTAAATCAATTAAACCCAAATTTATTTTTAAAGCCTCAAATAAAATTTCTATGCTCATTTTCCATCAAACCCAAATTGATTTTTTTACGGCTTCTAAGAATTGGTATGCAAAAAAATTTAGTATCACCTTAGTGTAAGGGTCTTAAACACACGTTAACAATACTTGAATGTCAAAATCTAATAAATACGTTTGATCAAAAGGCAATAATATAAAAAATATTGTATAATGATTTAAAATTTAAAATTTAAAATTTATATTAAAATTAATAGGGTCTCATTTAAATTTTTGTTTCAAGCCTCGTTATGTGTGGGCCTAGCCTTCCCCCCCTCCCCCACCCACCCCACCCAAACCAACCCAATGGGAAGTACGAAGTACAAGAACAAGAATGTTGAACTCACCAATATTATTTTTACCAACTCAACAGAAATTGTTAAATTTGTGGATCTTAATGGTTTTCGATTGAAAAAAAGGTGAGTGTCAATATTGTAATTAATATATATATATATATATTATTTATTGCTTGTGCCTGAATTAATAAAAAATAAAAAATAAAAAATATATTTGTATCCATATACAAAATCAAATTACAAACATAGAAAAGATAAAAAATAATTTAAACATCGGTTTGTAGTAAGGGTAAGAGGTGGTGGGCGGCAATAGTGGTGGTAAGAGACAGTGATGGTTGTGGTGGATGACCATGACCATGGTGTTGGTGGCGACAGTGATAATTGTGGTGGGTGGCAATGACCATGGTGGTGGTGGAGGTGAGGGCAGGGGCGATGGCGGAGACGACGACACGATGATGGTGGTGGCGGTGATGGTGGAGGTGGAGGTGGCGGTGGCAGCAACGACGACGACGATGGTGGTGGTGGTGGCGGTAGCGATGGTGGGGGTAGGTGTGGGGGTGGTTGAGGTAGTGGTGAGACGGTTTCGAACACTATTTTTTTTAAAGTATTTATGAGATAATTTCTAAAAGTACTTTTAAAAAATCATTCTAAACACACATTTAGGAGCCCTATTTTTCATATTAAATTTATGATATTAATATTAGCCGTTAGATTAATTTTAAAGTAAAATTTAAAGTGATCTCAACCGCGAATAACAAAAGTCATTTTATTTATCTTTTGAGATTTGAATTGTAAGTTATTTTATTATATACTAGTTATTGTCTGTGCCTGAAGGCACAAAATAATAAAAAATACTAAACAATAAAGATAGTTGTATTCATATTCAAAATTAAATCACAAACATAGAGAAAAAATAAAAGTATTTAACCATCGATTTGAAGTGGGGGTGAGAGGTGGTGTGCGATAGTGGTGGTGGTAGAAGATAATGATGGTTGTGGTGGGTGACAATGACCGTAATGGTGGTGGTGGTGGCAATGGTAGTCATGGTGGTGGTGGTGGCAGTGGTGGCGACGCTGGGGGTGGTGTTGACGGCAGCAATGGTGGTGGCAGCGGCGGTGGGGGTGGTGGTGGGGCGGTTTTAAACACTATTTTTTTTTAAAGTATTTATGAGAAATAATTTCTAAAAGTAATTATAAAAGTCAATCCAAATACACTATTAGGGGTCTATTTTTTCTATTAAATTTAGGGTGTTAATATTATCCGTTAGATTAACTTTAAAATAAAATTTAAAGCGATCTCAATCGCGAATAACAAAAGTCATTTTGTTTATATTTCGAGATTTGAATTGTAAGTTATTTTATTTTATATATATATTATTTGCTGTTTTTTAATATCAATCGATCGTCAGGCTTCGCAAAGGCTGATTGAGGTAGTGGTACCTTTCTGAAAAACTTGACTTTTGCCGACCAAGATCCACAATAAATCTAAGACTAATCGAAATCTTCTAAAGTCATAATATTAAAGTGGGCTATCAAGAGCTCTTCCTCTTTCCCTTCTTCTAAAAAATTAATATATATATATATATATATATATATATATATATATATTAAAGTGGGCTAATAGAGGATTTGGTGCTCAATTTAATTAAAGAGTACTGATGCTACACCGATTAAAAATAAAGTTTATCTGATGTGATAATTGACATGATAATTAAATATTAAATAAATAAAAATAAAAATATTATTATTGTACTTTATACCAAATTTGAACCTGACGAAATCAAATCCAATTTGGATAAGCCCATCACATCTTCTTCAATTAGAGAAATCCTTCACATTAAAAACATAATTATCGCCTCATGGGATAACTCCACAATAAATTAAAAGCGAATTCAAGATTTAGTTAATAGTGAAACATTTTCAGTTTCGACAATTCTCATTAAGAGGACATACTTTTTCCATTATCGAAAAAAAGGTCCAAAGGGTAAATGAGGTCCAGGTAGGGTTTGATATCATCTATATATACCCATTTTGTTTTCTCCCATATCCATAAATCTATAGGCTTACAACTCTATAACTGCATATCTACAAGTTTTTTTTTTTGAGAGTGAGAAAGAGAGAGAGAGCTAGATTCTAGAGAGAGGGGGGACTAAAAAAAGATAATAGAGAGAGAAAGATGGAATTTCTTCAGTTTCCCCTAGCTCTTTGCTTGGCAATGGCGGTCATTTTTCTCTTCATGTTGTGGAGGTTGTTATATTCTTGCTGGGTTTTGCCAAACCAGGCATACCAGAAGCTTAGGAGGAATGGATTTAGTGGTCCAACTCCAAGTTTTCCTCTAGGAAATATTGTTGATAGGAAGAAGAGTCTCCACTCTTCTTCTTCATCTTCTTTAAGCCTCACACATGATATCCATTCAAAAGTATTTCCATACTTTTATCTATGGCAGAAACTGCATGGTAAGCTCTCACAACAGTTAAAAAGTTTTCGCATTACTCACTAAACCAGAGAATGTTGCTAATACAATAATACCTGAGCAAGAATGCTCAAGTTGTATGAGCACATAATTCTCTTAAAGGTATTTTAGATCTTTCCAGATCGAACCTCCTGGACTGCTTTGTTTAATGCTTACAAGTCCGCAGGTGTGGGGAGCACCGAACGAACGTGTTTTAGGAAATATTCGCCTGAGACTTTCTTTTTTTTTTTCCTTTTTTTTTGCAGGGAAGGTGTTTATTTATTGGTTGGGGACAGAGCCATTTCTATACATTGCAGACCCTGAGTTTCTAAGAAAGATTTCGGCTGATGTTATGGGCAAGAGTTGGGGAAAGCCCACTGTGTTTAAAAATGATAGAAAACCCATGTTTGGTAATGGTTTGGTTATGGTTGAAGGTGATGAGTGGGTTCGTCACCGGCATATTATTACCCCTGCATTTTCTCCTGCAAATTTGAAGGTATCTGTGTGTGTATAGGGGGGGCTGGCAAAGAGAAGAGACAATCAGCATATATAATCCATCACCCCATACCCATAAACCTTGGTAATTGAACCCTAGTATGAATACCAACTAATCAAACCATATCTTAACCAACATAAAAGTTTAAGGAATAGGTTCTTCAAATTCAAGGGATATGGCTAACTTAACTTTCTTAATCCTCAAGTTATCCTCCTCCACTACCTTAATGGTCGTCATTGTCTTTTTCTTCGGTAAGTAATGGTCGTCATTGTCAATTTAACCTTTTTCCATATTTCATTCACTTTTAATTTTTGAAGTATAGTGATACTCTTATCTTTAGTCCTATTAATATTATTTCAAACTTGACCAACAGACTATGTCAAGCATGACGGTGGAATCAACCACAAACATGCTCGATCGGTGGACGGCCCTAATCACCTCTGGAAAGCCCGAAATCGACGTGGAGACAGAAATCACGAGCACAGCCGGAGAGATCATAGCGAAGACGAGCTTCGGAATGAGCTACGAAAATGGGAAAGAAGTGTTCGAAAAACTAAGAGCCATGCAAATGGCACTTTTCAAATACACCCGTTACGTGGGTGTGCCCTTTAGCAATTTCATGTGTCCTATTCAAAATTCAGAGGCTAAAAAGCTTGGGAAAGAGATTGATGCTATGCTATTATCAATTATAACGTCAAGAAAATCAAATGTAGGGCAGCCCCAGAAGGACCTTCTGAGCTTATTAATGGCGGAGAGCCAGGTGGGTGGGTCGTCGGAGAAGAAGTTGACGGCGAGTGAGCTGGTGGATGAGTGTAAAACATTCTTCTTCGGAGGCCATGAGACAACTGCTTTGGCTTTGACGTGGACGTTGCTACTCTTGGCCATGCACACTGAGTGGCAGAATCAGCTGAGAGAAGAGATCAAAGAAGTGATTGGAGATGGAGAGATTGATGCCACCATGCTTGCAAGACTAAAGAAGGTAACATATTTATCGGAACATACTACACTTACGTTCTTTTGGTCGGCATGGCATTAGCCTTCTTCCTATGATTCAGTGGTCATAACATAAAATCTAAAATGGAGGGCTAGTCCACGTGTTGAAGCGCGTGAGGATAAGAGATTGGCATGTCATGATCCACCATGAACTTTGCTGACATAGTTACGTAAAAGTAACGTTTGAATGATTAAATTTTAAAATTAAATTTAAAATTTAAATTTAAATGATATGATAGTTGATTATTTAAAATTTTTATTAGGGTCCAAATAACATCATATTAATTAAAAAAATTCAAATAAACCGTTATGTGATTTAATCTCAAAATTTCATCAATTGAGTAATACTGGTTATGTAAAGATCAACGTGGCAATACCCCACCAGCCCAATTGATTTGACTGTCCAAATGGGAAAATGAAAACGAAACGGTCTCACGCGGGCCTAGGATACGATGTGGTTTGGCCTGGGGAGCACATATTTATATATTCTATCCGTTTTTAAATATAAGTCATTTAAGATTTTTGTACATAAATTAAAAAAATTATTAAATAACTATAATATGAGTAAAAAATAATTACACAAAATTAAAATACATTTATTCAATACGCATCTAAACAAAAAAAAATATGAAAGATACTTAACATACACTTAATCTATTAAACATTTATTGAAAAACATATATAAGAGTAAATTTAGAAGAAAAAATATTAATTATGTTTTAATTTTATTAAACGACAGATATTGTAGAACAAAAAAAATTGTATAAAACGATAGATATTTAGCAGTAGAGAAAATATTTTTTTTTAGCTTAATGTGTTGTTTAACCGACCAGAGCTTTCTCTTTCCAACTTTCTAATGAGGTCTAATCTGACTTGCATGCAAAATTGCATGAATAACTTGCATTTTAATGGTGTCTAAAATTTACTATTTTAATAGATATTTTTATAATTTTTGTAATTATTTTACAACTAAAATTTTTATTTTTTTTTGGTGTTTTTATCACAATTGTAAGAAACTATAGTAAAAAGTTTTTTTTTTCAATTTTTTTCGGTACCATAACTATAATAAAAAGACTTACAATAGTGGTAAAACTACTCACAAATGTTATAAATTAAAATATGGTACCGAAATTTTTTTTTTTTCATGGGTACCAAAGACAACTCCCTAATTTAGTAATTATTTGTCTCATTTTCTAAATTCATGTTATATTCATATATTAAGAATTCAAATCCACTTCATTAGACTTGTATCCAATGATCTACCTATAAGTCGGGGGTCTATTTATAAAGAGTAATACTATATTTATCAAATTTTGGGATCGAATTTGAAGTCTAAATGACATAACAGTTGATTATTTGAAGCTTTTATTAGGGCTCAAATGACATTACACCAATCAAAGAAGCCTAAATCAATTGCCATGTCATTTGAGCTCCAAATTTAATCTCAAAATTTGATCAGTCTAACATTACTGATTTATAAAACTTGGGTCATACTTGGATAAATTCAAGTTTTTGCCAGCTCTATATAAGGTGGGTAATTCCTGGTGGTTCTAAATGTCTAAAATTTGTCTAAATGCAGATGGGATGGGTAATGAATGAGGTTCTACGGCTATACTCACCGGCACCAAACGTACAACGGTAAGCAAGAGAAGACATCCAAGTGGACGGGGCGGTGATCCCCAGTGGCACAAACATGTGGATCGACGTGGTTTCGATGAACCACGACCGACAACTTTGGGGCGACGACGTTTATGAGTTCAAGCCAGAGAGGTTCAAGGATGACTCATTGTATGGTGGATGCAAGCACAAGATGGGGTTTTTGCCTTTTGGGTTTGGAGGGAGAATGTGTGTGGGAAGAAACTTGAGCATGTTGGAGTACAAGATTGTTTTAACTCTTATTGTCACTAGGTTTTCGTTTTCCCTGTCCCCAAACTACTGCCATTCTCCCTCTATCATGTTGTCTCTCAGGCCTACCCAAGGCCTACCTCTTATATTTCAACAACTGTAGTTTTCTAACCATTTGGATGTAGTTACTTTGTATTAGAGGAATATTATCTATTTGGATGCTCTCTCTCTCTCTCTCTCTCTCTCTCTCTCTCTCTCTCTCTCTCTCTCTCTCTCTCTCTCTCTCCAAAAAACAATTAAATTAGGAAAAACTAAAACAATATATATATTGTAATACCCTTGAAAATGGATAAAATTCAACACTACCCATTGTTTAATAACTCTATTAGTATTATTTATAACATATAGGGCAGCCCCAGAACAAAAAAAAATGTAGGGCAGCCCCAGAACAACCTTCTGAGCTTATTAATGGCGGAGAACCAGGTGGGTGGGTTGTCGGATAAAATAAAAAATGATTGAACATGAGCTAGAAATGAATGATATAATATTTTTAGGAGAAAAAATATGTAAGGAATAAAAATTTAAATTATTATATGTTTTATTGAATAAATATAAGGTCATATTGATTCTAGTTCAACTCCAATTAAACCCATATTTACTCATTCTTTTTAAGCCTTCCAAACTCGAGTATTATCCACATTAAATCAATTTAAGACTTTGCTAATCAATTTCAACTTGAGTACTAAAAATTTCTATGCACATAAAAAATATTTTTAAATTTAATATAAACTAAGTTCAGATTAAATCGCTCAAATTACACCTCAACCTCTCTCTTATGATATGTATGATATGTAACTAGTTTAATCATAAGGATAGCTCAAGTGATAACAGAAATAATCTATAAACTCAAATGTTTTATATCTCAATTTTGGCAATTACTTGGGGTCAGATCATAAGAGATTTATTCAATTATCCATCATCCCTCATGAATACATTAGTCCAGACCCAAAAAAAAAAAATGAATATCCTAGTCTTGACGTAGATGTTCTGCCTTTGATCAAACAAAAAAGGATATTAATTGAAGTGCTCATAAACTGATCAAAAAACTCCTAACCATTGAAACAAAAAAAAAAAAGATACGAGGGCTATCAAAGTCCGACACAATACGATTAACCGACACAAATCAACACGAATTAAACAAGTCTTAACAAATTCGAATGGTAAAAGGGTTAACTCACCAGACACGTTTAATAAACGAGTTGTGTTCGGGTGAAACTTGTTAACCCATTTATCACTCGTTTAAATAAAATTTAGATAACAATAAATTAAAAAAAATTAGCCATAATAATATATATTTTTTCTAAAAACTACTTTCCCTCATCTGTCTTCGATGTTAAACAAATGGGACTTAAATGGGTCTAATGGATGAGATACCGGGTTAACCATGTTTATCCGCTCCTACTTCACACGACTCATTAAAAGTTAAATAGATTAAATAAGTTACGTCGTATTATCTGTTTATTAAACGGTTCGTGTTTTAATTTTTCATCTTTTATTAAATGTGTTGTGTATAAATTTAATTATTTTTTACTCATCACTCATTTAACTCGATATATAATTATTTAACCCGGCGTAATTGTCAAACTTGTTCATATACATCTAGGATTCAAAGGCACATATAAAGAAAGGCAAATGCGCCTATATATTACCTATACCAAATTGATTTGACCGTCCAAATATGGCAAAAAATGGGTCCCACATGAACATAAGACACTTTTTTAGCCTAAGTGGGCTAGCCAGACGAGCACAATTTTTTTTGGCTCATTAGGTCTGATAACCGACCAAAGCTTTCAATGGACGGAGTCTATCAAACTGGTCTATTCTGACGTGCATGCAAAATTGCTAGCAATGCATTCAACGTGTTGTGTTATGTTTCGTTACTTTATATTAAATTTTTATTTTGATATTGTGTTAATCATAAATTACAGAATTAGTAGTATCCTTTTCTCTCCCAATTATTAAATCCATTAAAAATAGGCTTTTCATAATTAATATTTTGCTTAATCTAAATCCTAACAAAATCAATTCAAGAATTATTTAATTTTTCAAAAAATGCATATAATATTAGTTTAAAAACTCATAAGTTTTGTTCAATATCATTAAATGTGTTTTTAGTGTCCAACACTATTCTAATACATTTAAGACTCTCTCTCTCTCTCTCACCAATATTTTTTACCACTTCAACGAGAATTGTTAGATGAGCAATGTTATTTGGATCTATTTGTCGACCTAATTTACTTGACCATGGATCCCATCAAATATTATAATTTGGTGTTAATTCAACGATTACAATAAAATTACTTCACTAAGTCAGTAAATTAGGTCATATTTTTATATTTTAATAGTATTAATCTTGTTAGATTAGTGGATTTTAATGGCTCTAGATTGAAAAAAAAAAAAAAGGGAAGAGTGTCAATATTGTAATAAAACATAACCTTTTAGGGAAGTTGCACTATTTATCTAAAGTCTTCTTTCAAAACTCTTTTTCCTTGTACATCTCCAAAATTTTATTATTGATAATCAAAGGAAATCCATGTTTTGTTCTACCTGGATTATTAAAAAAAGGAAGAAATTTTTTTTTTGCAACGAGACCCCTACATGGCTGAATTTAAATCAAAATTCTGAAATAAGTGAACAAAATACTTGTCTTTTTCCAAAAGCCTTCATGTTCAACCAAACAATTAATGGAGGAGAAATGCCAACTACAACTTTATAAGGTGGTACCCTCACGAGAATATAGCAAGCCCCCGTTTGAACTTCTTTTTTCCCATTGAAACCGTGAGTTTTGAAACATGTTTTTAAAGTAAAATCGTGTTTTAGAAACACACATTGTAAAACACAAATGTACTTTGATTAATAAGTTTGAAATTATATTATTTTAATTCACCCGTTGGTATTTATATATATTTTATTTGCTGTTTTTTAATAACAAGGGATCTGACGTCAGGCTTCCCAAAGGCTGATTAAGGTAGACTTTTACCGATCAAGGTCAACAATAAATCTACGACTTGTCGAGGAGAGAACTAATAAATCTTCAAAAATCATAACCACACAGATGAATCACTAGTTTTATAATGAAAATGACCATATGTCACGTGTGTCATTGTTTCAAATGGTATGGCATGATTATTTTTGTCAAAAAATTAACAGTCCAATTATGTAAATATTATTTAAATATAAATTAAATATTTTAAAGAATAAATTAAAATAATTAATACATTAAAAACTAAATTGAAAAAACAACCATTATTTACTATTAAAAGTGGAATTTACGCTAAAAAGGTAAGAAACTGTCAAAGTTCAAATCCCGCAATACCCGGATTCAAATATGACAAGTGGCAGCCAAATAATCGGCTCAAGAACTATGATAATCAAAAAATATATATATTTCTTAACGGTTACCTTATTTTTTTATCTAATAATAAAAGAACACTAATATTATTAATACATAATTTAAAAAATTAATATATTTTTATTATTGAATTGATAGTGTTAAAAGTCAATGATAATTTAATGTTAAGACTTATTAACAATTTAGTAACCACAATTATTAAATTCTAAAATTATATATTTAAATTATATATCAATAACATTACTCATTACAGAGCGACGTGTGTACACCAACCCCAGTACTTGTCAGTTTTCGTAGCATAGCCAAACCATAACACACCAATAATAATATGTTTGGGTTCGAACTATTTTTACAAAAAAAATAAAGTATCTAATTTATTAAACCAAAAAAAAGTATAGTACTACAAAATAGTTTTTCGGTACCAAATGATCTACCTTTACCCGAAAATGTTACATTTGGTACATTTATTAGTGTTAGCTAGGGAAAATGAAGGGAAATGAAGGATCAATGACCCTTCAGAGAATATCCAATAGATTATATAAAATTTTAAAATAGTTAAAATTTAATTAATTAAAGACAAAAATTTTGTTTCAACAAAATATGTTCAGATACTCTATCATAATTTTTTATTACAATAATACTCTAAATATAAAATATTACTATAACAACTTGTATAGATATTTTATAATTTTTTTCTCTCTCCTCTTGTTCTTTCCCATCTCTTTTGTCCGGTCACCATCTTTCCCTCCATTCTCTCCAACAATCTCAACAAAATTACAAAATATGTGAAATAATATTTAAAATAGTTAAAATATAAAAAATCTATTCGAATATATATTGAAAAAGTGAGTAACTCAAAAAGAAAAAATGTACTTTTGAATAATTAAAATACAAAACATGATTGGAGATACTTTTATTAATCGGTAGAAGTTAAAAAAACGTGTAGATTGTATACAAAAATGTATAATCTCTCCTTGTGTAAAGCTGAGAATAAGAAATCCCCATGAAAATGACTTCTCTATGTTGTATTTGCCTTCAAATCTTCTACTGAACCTGCAATATCTGCTAAATATTTTGCATTATAAAACAATACTGATACATTATGCACTTCAATTGTATTATAGAGAAATGACCAAAAAAAAAAATTGCATTATAGAGAAACTAATTGAGTTTTATATGGTTAAAAACAATAATGTTATTTAGATTTAATTTGCTGACCTAATCAATCACAACTATTGGTTAGGTTATGGGTTCCAATAAATATTAGGGTTTACTATAAATCCAATGATTATGAATAATTAGATCAACAAATTAGGTCAATAAATTATGTCAAAGTTGCATTTATAGGTTAAAAACGTAGTACCTCGGTCTATAGTATCAGCCGATTATGTTATGACAAGTGGTGTCACAAGGATATGCACAGTCAATCTCCTTAGAGACCCTTCTTCCAAAGTACCAATCACCTACTGCTTCTGCAATGGTCTACAAGAAAAATGGTATGGTTACTCGTCATAGTGGATACTTAGAAATAAAATGTCTGATAAGTAGTACACTACGGTGAAGAATGTGATTAATAACTGCAACAAATGCAATCAGAAGCACCCCGCTAGTTGGTTATATATTTAAAATTTTCGTTTAAGACAATTCATTTCAAATACAACTTTTAGAGTTAAGTCATAATAGAAGGCATGAACATCTCATGTAAGTCTAATCCGGATCTTACTGCTTTAAAGAAAAACTTGAAGTAGTTGATGCTCCTAGGAGTGAGTTTGTGGAATTTACATTCATATTCTTGAAAAGAACTTATGTTGGTGCCCAAGAAAAGAACTAAAAAATATGTCATGGTTAAAAGATCCTAGCCATTCCATACGGGAACCAGGACTATATGCCTCAACCCTAGTGGAAAGTCAATTTAATCAGATTCATAGCTGAGACAAATCTTTTTTGGAAAGGAATCGAATCAAGGGTTGGAAAACGTATTGGCCATTCAATCCTGTCGACTATTTGAGAACGAAATTGGAGGTAGAGATATGAATGGAGAAGAATAATTAATTGACAAAAGAACATAATACCATTCTGTTCAATAGAGAAATGATATATAGCTCGAGGCAATGAAGTAGATGAGATAGGCATTTTTCGAGTTGTTCAGATAAATAGCATAACAGAGTAAAGGCTTTGTTTAAAAACGACAGGAACACATCAGCACCATTGTATATAACAGGGTAAAGGATTTGTTTATAAACCTTATTGTGCACTCTTGGGGAATCAGCTGCAAACCATGTGTCCTGTGACTCGCTTTGACAATGAGCAAAACAAGAATTTATAAACATTCCTCCTCTTCCAGAATTTTCAAAGAAATACCCCAAAGCTGTAAGCATATCGTTCCTGAATCCTGTAAACAATAATTCTAGTAAACTGTTACAATATCGTCGATTTACTTCACACACTTATTTCGAATAACTCCGAGATAATCATGCAGCATGGAAGCTGAAGTGTTTTTTTAAAAGGAAATAACTTTCAAGTAGTAAATCTTAAATGAAAAACGCTGATGAAGAGTTATCAGAAGAAAGTAAAAACATATACTTTGAAAAAAATGTAGAGATCAAAACCAGACCTTGCAAAATATTTATCTGGTCTGTGCTACAGGCTGCTGGATTAAGCTTGCAGTGATTCCAATGTCCAACCAAATCAGCAGAAGGCGGCACCAATATGTGATGAAACTGTTGACATAAAAAGTTGCAATCACACTCGCCGAAAAAAAAAAGTTACAATCACTTCTCACCATTGCATCACAAGCACTAGAAAAGTGCATGGTCTGGGCCTGTATAGTTTCGAAGTAATGAGTTGAAAGATCTTACTTGGTACACATCATATGCCGAGTTCAAGATGAAAAATGGTGTTCTGATGTATGGCAATGCATTCTGTGGGAAAAAACACTGAAAAAGACCTCAGAAATGGTCAGAACAATGCTTAAATTTTAGGATTGCTAATTGCTAAACCAAAAATAAGGAGTGTAAATCATACTTCTTGTGGATCGTGACCAGAACTCGTGCAGTTTTTATCAAGATTCTGTTCTACACCCTGGAAATTGCTTGATAACATCTGAGATTAGAAACACTAAATACGCACAATACCAGAGTTTAAGAGGTTCTATGATTCATAAAGTGTCATCTTGTGAAACAGATAAAGGGCACCCAAAATCAATCCAATTCTTCTTAGAGTGAGAGGTGTACCTGTAAAGAAACAACGTCTTCATAGAAAGATCTCATAGTGTAGTTCAAACTTATGTCTCTTCTGCAGTGAAAAAGACAAAGATTTTACCATTGAATTGAGAAATTGAAGTTCTAAAACATTCCATTTGAAGAAGTTAAGGACTTACGCATCCAAGAAAAATCCAGCATCACTCAAGCATTTCACGCTTGCGTTACTTGGTAGATAGCTGGTGAAGTTGTCACAGTGCAAAAAGGATGCCAAACCCCCAGCAGAACATCCCGAAAGCAGAGCCTAAAGAAATAAATGTGATCAAACTACCATTAAGCACACCTGAATTCATGTATTATGCAAAGAGGGATCCCGGAACTGTCATTGTCTTTCCTACAAGGCCTTATATTATTCGCCTGAATGCAAGCTCATGTAAACTTTCACATGCATCATATATCCCACTCGCTAAAACCTTATACATCTTGTATTGCAGCTTTGGACAGAAAATGAGTCTTTTATGAACCCAAGTTATAAGTTGTTCAACAGCACCTTCAAATGAAACACAGAAATGATATCTACAAGAAAGTACAAGATTCAATCAACTTGGTCATTACTGTTTGCCATCTGAATCATAAGTCAATTTGGGTAGATGATATAATTTTAGATCATGTATATATGTGAAGTATTTTTATATAGGGCGCTTATGCTGAACCATGTCATTCCCTTGCTTCAAAATCTAACAAGGAAAAACATAAATCCGGCAAGAATATGTTTTACCTTTCTGGCATTGCCAAGACCTTTTGGGAGAAGGTCAAGAATAATTGCTTGCCAGATCCTCTGCCCTCTGAAATAAAGTAATGACGTCTGCCAGTTTATCACATAAGAAAAATCCTTGATTAGAAGTATGCAAACCAAATTATAAGATTTAGATATGTTTGATAGAGCAACTATACTTATATTTGATGGAACAAGAAAGTGAATAAGTACAAAAATTGTTAAAACAAAATGGGACTGTAATATACTTACTCCATTGTCAAACTTGGCATCCCCAGCAAATGATGCTCCATCACAATATCTAAGCTTCACTCGATTCCAATTGTAAAAATCTGCTTGTTTCGATGCAATTGAATTACGTTTGTTAACGGATAATTCTTTAAATATCTTAAAAGAAACGATAGAAATGACATTTCATACACCAACACTACCTAACGTAAGTAAACAGTTGCCAATAAGAAATCTAGTTGAGATGTAGAATGGACATGTTCTCTTGCAATTCAGAGAACATTTTCATTATCCTTTGTAACATATGGTATATATGCCTTATCACTTCCCATCATGTTCTTTTTGAGATTCAATAGCAAAAAAAAAATGTTCGTTTTTGAGATTCAACCATTAGATCCATTAGATAAAGAGATTTGTCATGATAACTTCATAGAAAATATTAAATTGTTTTTAGAATTACAATAGCGCTAAAAACAATCTTATATATTCAGGATAAACACAAAATAGAAGGATGTCTATGATGAAAAAACCCCATCATATCTAAATTTTACTTAATTTGATTTAGAAACATTCTTGTACCAAAGTTAAAAAAGCAAATGCTCGAACATTGCAGCAACTGCAGCATGATTTGGAGCGTATACATTCAAACCCACATCAAAAAAAAGTTTGAATTCGAGGAGAGTCCCACTCGCAACAATTTGGTTCATGATCCGACAAGAGCTCAGCACCTATGAGCTGGGTTTAAGTGTTTTATCTTCCCTTCGACTCTCTTTCTTGTTTCTGTTACATTATTATACAATGTTGGACTTGTGTTTTATGATCGAATAAAATAACCCTAGACATGTGACCAAGGTCTCTAGGCAGTGGGGTTAAGCCATATGCGCATGCATATCGGTTGTCTTATTTGCTGTCATCTTCTAGGTAGGAGTCGGTGCCCATATTTATAGCATACAGGTAGACAAAATTCTCAGGGTGTGTTTAGTTTAGGTAATAAGACAGAAGCATTGAAAAAAAATATATTTGGGCTCATCTTATCTCTTATACTTTCATGTTTGGATACACACTTTGCACTTGGTATTATCACAAGAAAATAATTCAGGCCGGATGAATATTGCATTTATAGCCACATACACCTCTTAAATAAATCCACTGGGTTTAAATAGTCCGATTGGGTATATTTAGGCAAAAGATATTTTTATTCTCTCTCTAGAATATCATTATCTTAAAGGTTCCTTAATAATTTAATGTTTATACCATCATTCAATACTTTATCCAAACACTGTATTGGATAGGATAAATATGAGGTTTAATACTTCTTAATATTTGAACTAAACATGGGATAAGCAAGTATTATCACTATAATTAATCCAAGGCTCGGATGAATGAGTGTGTGATGGATGGATTTATCTAATCCGATCCTTTCTAATGCCTAAACTAAACACAATAAGTGTTATTCTCCTTTCCAATTTCATAGTGATTAAAAGATATCCAATTCTCTTTTTAATAATTAGGATTTCCACGCATCAACAAATTTATTTGTTAAAAAATATGATACTAAATTTTTAAATTTAAACATAATTGAATCTATTAATGGGTATAAATACTGACAATTGAAAATAGGATTTATTGGAACTAAAAAAAAAAGTGGATTAAAAGACCTTTTCTCAAAAAAAAACTTAACAGCTCAATTTAAGTAAAAAAATGAACTGTTTCAGAAATAAATAAATGAGAGAATGAAGAAATTTTATTTGAACACAAGAAACAAATAACGTTGCTGAAGTAATAAAAAATTTGGAGTTACAGGACTCTAATTTATAGAAGTTGCTTCCTACAAATACTCAACTAACACTCAATCACAATACCAAACTCCTAAAATATCTCAACAATCTGATGATGACTTATTTCAACATAACAGACTAAGACTCAATCAACAAAGCAGACTCCTAAATAAATTCAACTACCCCTAAAAAATAGGCCAGTAAGATGAACTAAACTTTGACACTGTCAACTCTTTTGAAATTGAAGGGGAATCTAACCCCAATTTACTCGTATAATTATGAAAGTTGACAAAAAAAATCAATAGTGGGAATAAAAGAGCATAATGATGTTTGGAACCTATATTGATTGAAACCATTATACAAGACATACCAATACCATAAACAAGAGTAATTTTGCCCTTCCAGAGGATCTCTCAGGCAATTAAAAGAGGCAAAGAACGGAAAAACTCAGTGACTAGCGGGGCAAGTGAGAGCTGGAAGCTGGAGGTTGAAAGCAGAATCAAAGTAATAGCTGTGTGCCTCGGCGCCAACCACTAATCACGTGGAAGGACAATAAACAAACTGAGGAACAGTACCATTTTTGTTGGAAAATGATTGGAGGCAAATTGTCCCATGATAGTGAGCATCATGAGAGTCCATGCTCTGGCCAATCTTACTACTCAATCTGGGTCGTAATTAGATAACAATGGTAATGGATAAATACATACCAGGATTTAGAGAAACATTGTTATTAAGAATTCCAGAGAAGACCTCCCACTTGCTCATGTAACGTGTTGATCCACGATGAGTTTTGGCTCTACCCAAGCATGAGTTGATGTCATTGCACCACCCGCCTCCCTATTAAAGTGATCATTATTAATGAATAAGAAATTAAGAATCGCAATGCCTAACATGGATCAAATTGATCTAACTTAATCATAAATCCACAACATTATTAATATGCCCATCATGGCAAGATGTATTGATCCATCATAAGAATAATAATTTACCTTGATTATGAGGGTTATTTTAGAACAAAATCACAAAGATTCAAAAAAAAATATTACACTTTCACTAATTTTACTGATTATAAATGAGTTCCTCACCATATATATAATACAGTGATTAATAATTGAACGATAATGTATTGAGTAATATCTCGACCTAGAGGAAATAGTCAAGAGGTATTCATACTAAGTGATGTGACACCACGACAAAAACCATTAAATTGCAAGACAAAGCAACCTCATCTCTCTTGTGGTTAGGCATGTCACTTCTCGTATGCCAATCAATTAAAGGACCTGGTTGACAAAAAACACTTGTGTTTTATTCTTTTTTTTTTTAATGGTCGGGGAATAATATTAGACACATCACTTTTTGTACAGTCGCAATGTAAATCATTAAATTAACAAATTTTAGGGAAATTTTTAACCACACTCTCTCTAATTTATCATATCTTCAAAAATACTCTCCTTTTTTTTTTGAATCTTCAGTAACACCCTCTATCAGATTAAAAATATTAATTAAAATACAATTTTACTAAATTGTCCATAATATATTTGAGAACAAATTTTATCACACCCCCTCTAGATAAGTGTATCTTCAATGAGACCTCCTCTGTTTTCTAATTTTTTTTACTTATTAACTTTCGAGCTTGTTAAAATTCGATTCATTACATATTAAAATTTGAGCCGATTAAAATTATATTTTTTACGTATTAAAATTTAGGCTAATTAAAATTCTATTTGAGCCAATTAAAAATTATTTTTAATCAACTCAAATCAAATTTTAATCAACTCACATTTAATTTTAATCAGCCCAAATTTCAATACATAAAAAAATATAAATTTTAATTGACTTAAATTTTAATAAATCAAATTTTAATTGACATGAATTTTAATAAGTAAAAAAAATATAAATTTTAATCGACTCGAAAGCGAATTTTAATCGGCGCTAATAACTCGAGTAGAGTTCAAATTGACTCAAATTTTAATATGTAAAAACTAAATTTTAATATGCCAAATTTTAATACGTTTATAAAAATAAAATTTAATCAGCTTTAATTGAATTTTAATTCGTTCAAATTTTAATATGTAGAAAAATAAATTTTAATCAGTTCGAATTTTAATAAAATTTTTATGTATAAAAATTACTTGAGATTTATGTAGAGACATTTTTTGTATTTTAGATGAATTTTTTTGTTAGAAAGAGTAGTTTAATGGTAGGGCGTGTTAGTGATATTTAAATATAAAATAAAAAAGGTGTTAATGATATTTTTGATAATAGAGAAAATATCTTTGAAGATATAATAAATTAAGAAGAGTGTAACTGAAATTTTTCCTTGAATTTATTGAATAATTAAAAGTTGAAATAATGGAACATCAAGCATAGACAAGATGGTGCTCAAAATAATGCAGAACCGCCGATATCATTATTACCTTTTTATTGGTGGCCGAAAACTTCTTTGAAGTTGATTGAGAATGAAATATTGTCCCTTATGCATCATCTTGTTCAAAGTCCATTATATATTGGAAAAAGAAAAAAGAAAATGACATTTGCTAAGAGTAATTTTATATGAATTTAATTTATAGATTTAATTATGGATTTAATTTAATATAATTATTAAATTAATTCTAAATTCTTGGAGTCCACTTTTAATCTAATAATTATAGTTGATTAAGTCTTAAAATTATATTCAAATAGCATTTAGCTTTGCTAAATGATGCTTGTGTGTAACTCATGGCTATTTAAAATTTAAATGCATGAAGTGAGACATAGATTTTGCTCTTCTCTAAATTTCTCTGTGAATACAAACCTTTTTAAATAAATTGTATCACCTGGGAAAAGGATTGAAACTGATAATTTCTAATTATCGGGAAAAAACCCGATAATCTATATGTTTGATCAACTAATCGTATTATTAACTTCAAGTATCAGTCTGTTCAACCATTTCAAAAACAATAACTTAATCAAATTTAGTAAAAGTGTTTTTGTTGGGGGGGTCATATTTAAAGTGTTTAAAAACGAAACGTAAAAAATCACTGAATCACTGACTTTGCAGTGGGCGGCAAGAGTTTGTATCTGTCAGCAACTAGACCCACCTAACCCGAAATTATCGAAATTGAACACTTTTGAATTTATTTATTAAAGTATAATATTAGCAAAAGAGACATCAAGAAACTTGTTTTTTAAAAAATATCATAATTTGATAAAAAAAATTAAAAAAATTAATAATTTTGATACTTTTTTTTTTTGGATATCTCAACTATCCCAATAGATCACTATAGTAGTTTTTATTTATGTATCAAATTAATGTTGGACCTTGTATAAAGTCGTCTTTTCATACAATAGAATAAATCTGTAGATAGTCACTCTATAGAACTACGCTCCGTGAAATATTCAAACCCTAACCTATCCTTTATTAAAAAAATTTTCCAATGATTGAACTACTACTAGACTAACCCTCGGTTGTTTTTTGATATTCAATTCAATGCTTCTTTGTATAGGATAGTTCTGCTAACTTTTATTTTGGAAATCTAATAACAATAATTAGAAACCTATTAAATATAACTATTGAATTAAAAATTGATTTCATCTAACATTAAAAAAAATTAATTTCAAATAACATTGAAACACAACATCCCAAATTAGCTCCCCCTAGTACTGCTGTTAGATTTTTTTTGCCCTTTTTGCCCTTTTTGCCCCACAAAAGGCCAAAGAATTACCTCAAACTGCAAAAGCCAGTTGCGTGCTCCAGCGCCAAATCCTCTGTGGAGATGATAAGCCGGCAAACTTCCATCCAAGCAATCTAAGGATATTCACCCAAAAAAATACAAAATTACCTCCAAAAAAAAACAATATTTTAAAATACGTTTCGTTTATCTGAAAACACAGTACATGGGAGAAAAGAAAATTATATCGAATAATTTATAAGTTTCGTTAAAGGCTTACAAGCTTCGAGAGCCGTAGCGTTTCGAACCACAGTCATGTTCACCAGAAGCCGCTCCTCCTCCGCGTAAATGAACGACGATCCATACGTTAGCACAATCAAGCTAAACGAAACTACTACTATCAGATTCATATTCTCCTCACCTCAACTCGAAGTCTCGCTCAAATGATAATGAGAAATATTTGAGAAAAAGAGATATGTAATATTAATAACGATTCTCGAGAGTGTGTGAACAGTCTGTAAAATTTCGTCAAATATTCCGAAGATGCATGCTA